GTAAAATAGTTTTTTTATATGTTGCACACCGGGTGAAAAGTCAGTCGTGTAACATCGACGGTCGCTCCTGTACCTGTATAGTGACTTTTCACCCACCCGGTATATGGCGATAGGCATATTTTATTGACAAAGCAAACCCACTTATACTTGTTTAACATAAACCCTACTCTGACCTCTAAAAAATGCACTTCAAAAAAATGGCGGTTTATCTATTTTTTTTTTTATACGTATAAATTTTATTAACTGCTAATATTACCAATAAATTACGTACGTACGTACATACGTAATTGAAAGCGTCAACACATAAATTGCACTGTAAATCTGATTTGAATGACGAAGTCTGATTTCCTTCCCTTGCATTATTCAGAAATCTAACTTTCTTTTCCTCTTTATATTAGTACGTAATACGACAGCACTCAAGTTAAAATAAGCTCGTTTTTTATGATCGATTGAACCCAGTTAGAAAGGTACAATGTCTTCTGAACTTCATAGGTATAGAATCGAATTAATGAGGATTAATATATAAGATCAAAAATCTGCTGATATGGGTAACGTTACAGGAACATATGACGTTGAATATATTTTGAATTGGAATTTAAAAGGGTGAACATTGTATTGAGATTCGTAATGAACATGGTTTGGAATATTTGTATACTTTATATTTTATGTTTTGCAGCTTTACGTTTCATAACTTACAATTATTATTATTTATTATTATTATTTATTATTATTTTTATGAAGATATTATTGAGTTAAAAAGGATGAACATGAGTTTATTTATTGTCAAAAATCTGCTGATACGGGTGACACTGGATATTATTATCATATTGGAATTGGACGAATATTAATTTTGGGGCCCTGTAATAAATATGGTTTCGTTGTTATGTCTTACATTTTGCAAATTTTATGTTTCATGATTTACAATTTTTTTATTTTTATGAAAATAAAATCAGGGTTAAAAGGATGAACATAAACAATCCAAAAATCGGTTGATATGGATGACGCTGTGAGAACATATAACGTTAGATATTGTTATCATATTGGAATTTTAGTTGAAAAGGGCGAATTATTTTTGGGATTCGTAATGAATATTGTTTTGAACGTTTGTATTTATTATATCTTATACTTACAAATTTTACGTTTTCATGACTTTCATTTTATATATATATATTTATGAAAATAATTAGGGTTAGAAAAGATGAAAATAAGACGCCTATTTATTATCTAAACATCGTTGACGAAAATTATAAGATTTATGTTTGTACATACAAATACTTATAAACTTTATCATAACTTTCGCCAACAAGGCAGGTCATAAAACTTTGCAATCGCTCAATGTCGCTTTATCAAGGTTTGATCTGAAAACATCAGATTTTTATAATTTTTATACATTATCTCTTATTTCTATAGATCTTTACCATTGTAAGTTATGTTAGCTCAGGGTATTTTCAAGTGTCACTTCAATGTAACTTGCTAGTGATCGAGATAACGATTTTGCCATGAATTCAATTATGCAAAATGTGGATTTCAAATTTCGACAAATAAATATCGGGTCGCAGCTTCAGATTTTTCGATCATTGTAATCAAACTTTTGGTTAATCAGGCTTTTCAATGAACCTATCGAGGGTGACGTTTGCAAATACCCTTAGTGATCAAAAAGATCACTTACTAATTAATACTTAATACTATTTTTAGTTTCATTTCATTTTTGCGTCGATTTAGCCGTGAAGTATAAATTGTTACATCGGGTGAAATATGAATTTTGAACGCTTGAAATTTGTTGCTGAACGTGCTAAATTGGGATATAATATTTTTACCTAAAATAATTCATCAGTTACATATATTAAATAGTTGCCTTTATATTATAGTCAATACTCAAACTAGGAATATCATATTCAGCCATAATAAATACGATTGTATAAATACAAATAATGCCAAATTCAAAAACTTTATCGAATTTGACCGAAATTCATCATCAATTGTTTCAAAATTTATGAGAACAACAGTAAAAATATTCGGATAAATTCTAGCTGATAATATATAAATTTAATTATAGCCTTAATTTAAATTCTTTGACTAACTTCTTTGCTGTTCCGATGGATATAAATCACGTGGATTATGTTCGATATGCTTTTGTACGTTTTTTTTTGAATTTTGCGATTGAATAACGCAGGTGAATTCGTTATATCCGATCACGCGAATTCCTGACCAAGAAGTAATTCATATGTAATTCTGAGTCCTAATTAGTTAATTTAGAAATTCAAAATTACATGAAATTTACGAATTTTTTAACGCAAAACATTACTCCTGCATCTTTTTTGATACTGTCGTCGTGCTGATCTCAGTAAAAATAAGAAATTTCAAAACTTTGAACGAAGATATCATCTAACCAAGTTCGATAAACCTTTTTTATTTGAATTCTATAGATTAATAGAATCCGACTAAAAAAAACTTCATCGAATTCAGTCAAGTGGTTATCGAGATATCTTCGCTCAAAGTCAGAGAAAAATCAAAACGCAATCAATTTTAATGAAAGCCGCGCCAAATTTTTTCTTTAACTTTGAGCGAAGATATCTCGACAACCATCTAACCAAATTCGATAAAACTTTTTTATTGGATTCTTAGGATTCTTAGGATTCAAATAATAAAAAAATTTCATCGAATTTAGTAAAGTGGTTATCGAGATATATATCTTCCTTCAAAGAGAAAAATCAAAATAGAATCTATGTCAAATTTTTTCTCTACTTTTGAGCGAAGATATCTCAAGAACTATCGAATAAAACTTTTTTTATTCGATAGAATTTGAATAAAATACTTTTCATCTAATTTAGCTAGATGGTTGTCAAGATATCTTCCTTAAAATTAGAGAAATAATTTGGCATAGATTCTATTTTGATATGCGTTTTGATTTTTCACTAACTTTGAGCGAAGATATCTCGATAATCACTTCGATGAAAATTTTTTTATTCGAATTCCATGAATCCATAGTATTCAAATAAAAAAAAATTTGGTCGAGAAATCTTCGATTAAAGTTAAGAGAAAAAATTTGGCGTAGATTCTATTTTAATATGCGTTTTGAGTTTTTACCAAATTTGAGCGAAGATATCTCAATAATCACTTGACTAAATTCGATGAAAATTTTTTGTTCGAATTCTATGAATTCATAGAATTCAATAAAAAGTTTTATCAAATTTGGTAGATGGTTGTCAAGATATCTTGCTCAAAGTTAGAGAAAAAATTTGGCGCAGTTTCTATTTTGATATTATTTTGATATTATTTTGATATGCGTTTTGATTTTTCTCTAACTTTGAGCAAAGATATCTCGATAACTACTTAACTGAATTCGACGAAAATTTTTTTATCCGAATTCTATGAATCCATAAAATCCAAATAAAGAAGGGTTATTGAACTATTTTTGTTCAAAGCTTTGAAATTCTTATTTTTACTGAAATCTGCAGGGTCAATAAATCAATGCTATACTATGTAAAAAAAAACATGGGATAATTTTTGATATTTTTTATATTTTCTAGCAATAGTTTCTTGATAACTATCTAATTAATATTAAAAAATTTTTTATTTTATTCTACAAGCATAAAGTAGATGCGGGCATTGTGACGAAGTTAACTCTGTGCACTAATAAAAGTCTGTTAAAAACCTTATATATATATATTTTTCTGAACTATGTAGATTTCAATGTGTTTCATAAAATAGAAGAAAAAAAAATACAAGTTTCATATAAATTATGTGGTGCTCTTTACCAGGACCCTGGAAACTTATATTAGATGTTCCCGGCAAAATGAAGCCAATTTTATCATTTTTTTTACTCGCAAGCCGATTGGCTAAAAATGATAATCATTACTGTAAAAGGAAAGCAGATCACATAACTGCGCATATTCTTTGTATGACATTTCCTTTTTTGGTAAGATTTTCGCTCCTCTATTAATAACTTTACCAACTTTACCTATACTTTAGCCAGTAACATCAGAAAATTTTCTATATGAGCTTTACCTATTCCACATAATGGGAACATCTAATATAAGTTTCCGGGGTTCTTCTTTACCCATTGATGATCATTAACATTAATATGCTATTAATATATTGATATAGATAATCTCTTACAATATTAATATGCTTTCATTAAGTGTACTAGTTACTATGTATTAAAACTGTTTGCAAAAAAAACCTAATCAGCTTTACTCTATCCTTTATCTTTTTTTTTGAATTTTCTCTTTCTTTTTATGCTCTCTTTTAGCTTTTTTTCTGCTTTCTCTAACTCATATATTACTTTTTTTTGGGCTACAATTTTTTTTTTCTTTTATGTTTTTAACTTTAGATTTGGTAGCTTCTTTTGCTGCCTCTAACTTTTACAAAGAATCATTATTAGTAAGAAGGCAGATAAAGGCATTGTTTTTCTCTTTTTTATAGGCTAGGAATAAGGGAATTAAAATTTAATATCTTCATAAGATTTTGTTTGTTGGTTTGTGATAAAAGCCAAGAAGTAGAATATTTAAGTGCTATTTTCGAAGAACAGATACCTGTATTTTTAAAGGTCTCTAGTTTTTTACTTATTAACTTATAATTTTTCTTAATTGTTTCATTTTCTTTTTTTAATAATATGACTTCTTTTTCAAAAGATATAACATCTACTCTTCTTTGGCAATACCAGTCAAGTAAAATATTTACTGGTAGGTGTGAAGAAGAGGGTACAATTTTGAAAAATGATAGTTTTACTTTGGTTGGCTAAGTAATCCGAGACAATAATTTATGTTTTGTTATTAATTAAGGGGGCAAAATATTCAGAGCTAATAGCATTAGAGTTTAAAGGCCAAGTTTTTTTTAAAGGTATTAATAATCATCTTATAAATGTAGGTTGTAACCCAAGAATCTTAGTAAACATATACTTGGTTACTACTTTTTCCTTAGTATTATATAGCTTATCACAATTTTTAGTATACTCTTTTAAGTTTCGCAAAAGAGAGTTCAGATACTTGAAGAATATGTATTGTATATAGAAGAAGTGTATAAAGTAGAATCCCATTTTCAAAATATTTTTTTTAGTCAATTTAATATATTTAAATAAAATACTATCTAGACATTATACTGTATTTCAAAAAAACATCCAAACAATCCAATATTCATTTTATATGATAACCCAAATAACAACCTAACATTTAATATAGACAACAGACAACAATCTATAGAAAAATAGAAGGTGGCATCAAATAAAATACCAGAAATAACTAAAATTGAAGAAACAGTTTTTGAAAAATGTCTAGTATCACTTTTTAAACTAAACCAAATACCAAAAACATCTAATATTATAAAACTAGAGGTAATCAAAATTACAGAACTAGAGACAACTAAGATTATAGATTATTGAAAAAATTAAATAAACTTAAATTTAATAAAATACTGTGTTTTGTAAATATAATATTCTTGCTTTCTTTTTCAGTAATTGACTAGACTTATCAACTTGCAACTTGAATAATTTGAGTTCAAATCATATTAATAATAAAGTTTAAAATGATAAATAATTTGCATTAAATATATTTGTAAGCTGCATAAATAATATATTGATGTATTGTTGTGATTCTGGGTATTCATAGTGCAAGGGCAAGGTCAAGGGATCATGATTGGATCATGATCCAATTTGCATGAATGGCATGATTCGGGTGTGCATAGAAATTAATTAAAAGTTTAAAACATTGATTGTATGAGTGATGAGATAATATGTAATAATCAGTGATACTTAATAGCAATTAGTAATTAATAAATAGGCACATTGGGGAACATCACAAATTTTTTCAAGTAGATTTATAATGATATATAACGCTTAATCGTTTTATATCGATTAAATTTAAATGCTAAACATCGATTAATTTGTTATTTAGCGATATA